GGGGAGTGGGGGAAAGCCAGGAGCAGCCCCAAAGCGGAGCCTTCCCGGCAACCGGGTGGGGCGGGAGCGGTGCTCGGCGCTGCACAAATCCCCTGGGACTGGGACTGGGGCTTGGACTGGGTTTAGGAGCGAGGCTGGGACTGGGACCAGGACCAGGCCTAAGGCTGCGGGCAGCCCAGCCCGGCGCTGCCGCTAGATGTCAGGGGAAGCCCGGGGAGAGGAGCCGGGGCTGGGCCACCGGTCGCCCCGCTCTCAAACGCCCTCGCCCGGTTTTTGGTATCTTCAGGAGTCGGCTTGAAAATGAAAGGGTTGAGATCTCCCCCCCCGAACACGCGGGACGTGGAAAACACGGTCCTCTGGCAGGTAAAGCTGGGGGAACAAAAGGGTTCGGTGGGGCTCGGGGAGCAGCAGGGCTTTGGTGCTTTCCCTCCCTCCTCCCGCAGCGGTGTTTGAGGTGGGAGACAGCTTCATTAAAGCCCCCCCCCCGGCCTGATTTGCCCCAAGCAGGGCCCTTTTCTGCCCCTCTCCATCCCTCTGTCTTGGCACAGGTGGCCGAGGAAGGATGCGAGCGCAGGGCAAGCGGAAAGGAACCGAGCACCAGCACCTTGGTCTAATGACCCCGACCCTCCCAGTACAGTCCTGCACCACCAGGCTCAACCCTCTCCCAGCATCACCAGTGCCGGACAGCTTCTGGTAGCCTGAATTTCCCAACAGCCTGGTCCAGAGACAACCGGGTTTGTCCCCATGTGGGAGCCAGCTCCTGGTCCCAAAGGTTTTAGGAGAAGTCGGGTGCCCAGGGGCCTCTGCGGGGGGAAGAGATGCTGCAGCGACACGGGTGCTTGCTGTGGGAGCGACCCAGCTTGCTCCAGGGACACCTCGGGGTGTCCAGACTTGGCTCAGCCACTTCCCCTCTCTGCTCTGTGCCTCAGTTTCCCCATCTACTGCTCTCCGAAGAGAGGAAGGCAATGAAGGGTGCTGTGTCAGGGAAGGAGCGTACTTTTGCACCCCAGAATTAAATCACATAAATCTTTTTGTAACTTCAAGATTTGCCACTGAATTCACACAACATCTGCCCAGCTTTATCGGCCGAGTTTCCTTCAGATTTCTTTCCAGGGAAAAAAGCGAAGCCCCCAGGACCCCCCTTCACCCTAAAGACTGACGCCCATGCACTGGCTTTCATGGATTGCTCCGTCCTCATTGTGTCCCCGTCCCCCCCAACCTGAGAGTGGCTACCCTCCTGGAGCTTTGGCTAGCAGAGAATGTGACAGCCCACCGCAGCCAGCACCCAGGGGCAAGACCAGGGTGACATCGAGGTCCCTCCTTCCTTCCCCTTACCACTCATCACCTTGCACTGAGCCAAGAAAAAGCCCCCTCTCCTCAAAACAAGAAAGTGCCCCCCAGCACGCAGCCCCCTTGGGAGAGGGGTGCTCCCCTGGCCACTGCAGCCCCCAGGTCTCCCTGCTTTCCAGCAGCACCCAGCACCCCATCTCCACCTGCCCCCCGTCTCACCCTGCCTGCCCCAGGGACAGGGAGCAGCCCCCAAATCTCCTGCCCGGGAGCAGATTCGAGCACCCAGGGAATGTGGCAGCTCGAGGGAAGCCAAGGGGGGCTCCCGCAGCACCCGGAGCAGGGGCAGAGCCCCAAAGGGCTCCTGGAGGGGCAATGGTGGCCGTGCTGGGGGGTCCCTGGTGGGAGGGGGCCTGGGGGGACCCCGCTTCTTGCCATCCCAGGGGTGGCTGCCAGATGCTTTCACACCTCCAGTGCCAGACTCCGGCGCTCACCATGTGGGGTTCCCCTGGGTGCCGGTGTCCCCCACTGCCAGCATTGTCCCCTGGGGAGGGGGCCACAGCCCCAGCCCACACAGAGGGGCCAGGGGGTTCAGGGCCAGCACAGTGAGATTTGGGGTAACCGGTTTGCTACCCAACCCACATTCAGGACCATCTTGTTTTAATACCTGCTGCTGTTGAAACACATAGATTTTATTTTTTTTTTTTTCATGATTGCATCAAAGATGAAAAAAAAAGAAAACTTTGGTTGCAGGCTGACCATAACACATCACTTTTAAACAGGGCTCTTATCCTTTCTAAAAGGAATTAAATCAAATTAGAGAAAGTTTGGAGTCTGAAGCGTTGCTCCACAGCAGAAATCCCAAACTTCCCACTTCGATAGGAATCAAACCATCACTTTAACTTTTCCAGTTGCAGTTGTTCATATCAGAAAATCTGTTGCAATCAACACATTTGCTAAATGCTTCGAGCCCACTGGACTTCCACGACAAAACACAGGCAAGTGGGCCACGAGGCTCCGTTCCTGCTGCCGCGACGGGCCCTGGGGAGGGCACCCACTGTCCCTGCTCCATGCAGAGACCCCAGCCCCACTCCACGCGGTCACATCCAGCGTGGCCGTGTCCCCGTGGCACGCACCACTCCCCGGTGCCGCGTCGCAGAGGAGGGATGCGAGAGGGAGAAGTGGTACGAGGGCTGATGCCCCAGCAAGAAGAGTGCCAGGCTCCAGTCATCACCCCCAGTCTGGGGTTCAGGGCTCACCCCCCTCCCACCTCACCTCCTTCCCAACCCTCTCCTCTTTCCCAACCAGCCCCTTTCCCCCCTCCCTTTTTATTTTTTTTTGATCTCCTCGCAGCACGTTTCAAAAGCAACCCACTGCGATGGGAAGAAAAGCCCCTCCAGTGAGATCATTGCGAGACCCCCAGACGTAGGGGTCGGGTATGAAACGGACCTCCCTCCTCCTCCTCCTCTCGTCTGGCCCCTCTGAAAGACTGTTATGTTTTGTAATCGGATTAGGGGAGCTCTGCCCCCTCCCCAT